CTTCCCTTCCCTTCCCTTCCCTTCCCTTCCCTTCCCTTCCCTTCCCTTCTCCTCTCCTCTCCTCTTCCGTCTTCTCCTCTCCTCTCTCCCTTCCTCTTCCATAATTTAGGCAATCTGTTATCAGCCCCCCAACCATTTTGCAATGTTTGAAGCTATTTAGTTGCGCTGGAAACAGAGTCCTATATGTGTGCATTAAGACTTGTCATTCAAACTGCAGAAAAGAGAGAAGAGAAAAGAAGATGAGAAAAAGAAAAAAGCCTGGATAAAGGAAGAGCGTCAGAAAACTCTGGAGAGGCTTAAATCATTCAAGGAGGCAAGTATCACCATTTATCTTTTCCCTCAGCACCCTCGCAGAATATTTTGCTTTGGAAAATAGAAACAAGGACTGATTATTATTGATCCAGCCTGGTCAGCCCCAAGGACAGCATCCATCACGAGATAACAACTCTGGATTTAGGAACCGCAAGGAGGGCACCAGGAGGTTTTGCACAGAATTTAATCAGCGTCACCTTGACGCAACTCTGCTCCTGTGGTCTGGAAGAGAATGAAAACATAATGGAAGGGGCCTGTACAGGAAAACGAAGAAGCTCCAGTTTCTACAAAAACTGCTGCTTTATAACAGCAGTGGGGGGGAAATGAGCTCTTTACTACTAGTCGTTGCAGGGTTACTGTCACGCCCTCTAGATATAAATCTGAGTAAGAGACCTGCTAGAACAGATTGAAGCTCCACTACTGTTATGTACACCAAGTCATAAACTAAAGGGACAGGCAGAGGTGGTATTCAGCAGGTTCTGACCAGTTATGGAGAACCAGTAGTGGAAATTTTGAGGAGTTCGAAGAACTGGCAAATCCCACCTCTGACTGGCCCCGCCAACCCCATCTATTCTCTCCTCCCGAGTCCCAGCTGATCGGCTGGTCTTCTTTGGTTGCCCTGAACAGGAGAACGGAGCTGGAAAGCAGGTTAGTGGGGTGGGGAGGGAATGGGGATTTTGCAGTATCCTTCCCCTATCACGCCCGCCCAGCCACGCCCACGGAACCGGTAGTAAAAAAAAACATAAATCCCACCACTGGAGACAACGCTGGGTTGAAAGAATCACAGAAGCCAGAGAGAACTCTCTCCAAGAGTTCAGCTTCACGTGTTGAAACAAATGACGCTGTTCAGCCTTTCACTGAGCTGGTTGAACATATTATGGGAAGCCCATCATGACTCTTAGAACACTATGGGATACGGAAAACATGTCTATGGGTATGTCTATTGAGATACTCCAGGTGATGATTGTCCCATAGGTGCTTTTCCAAAAGGCAACTGGACTTTCTTTTGGGGTTTTTTATTTTATTTTTAAAAAACATTCCATCTTGCCTTTAAACAGTGTGTCATCTGGGTACAAATATATTTTGCCTTAATAGTTATGGTTAATACAACTGCCTTACCATAACAAAAATAATTATATTACATTCTTATTTTAAACTACTATGCATAATATATTGTTGTAACCATTCCCTTCTTAACTCCTTCCCCTCTATATTCATATGTTCATATATGTTTTATATATATATATCTTCTGTGTTGGTATGCTTAATTTCTAATTTCTGTTTTTCTTTTCCAACCATTGATAAAATAATCCCCGTATCATATAATATTCAGTTGGTTCTTTTTTTCTTTAATTGCCAACGTTAATCTATTCATTTCTGCACATTCTAATATTTTCCTGATCACATTCTCTTCTATCAGAATCTTTTCACTTTTTTTTCCTTGAAAACATTTCGCTTCTCACCCAAGTTGCTTCTTCAGTTCTCAAGTCTTCAGTTCATGAAGAATCCTCTTGGATGAGAAGCAAAATGTTTTCAAGGGGGGGAAAAAAACCCAGAAAGTCCAATTGCCTTTTTGAAAAGCACCTTTGGGATGTCCAAGGGTTTGACGGCCACCGTGGATCAATTGCAGTCGGCTCTCACCTGCTGTTTTCAAAATGGATGCCTTCTCACCTTGCAGAAATGCCCTGCGCAGTTGGTGCTGAAGACCTCCCGCTCTCAGCCCGTCAACTCCAAGCAGGCTGGACCACGACGACCTCCAGCGGTTCCGCCACAAGCTGGTCCACCAAGAAAAGGTCCAGCTGCCAAGCAATCCAGGAATGTCCATCCAACACAAGTCAGGACTTCCAAAGCAGCATCTCGGAAGCCTCCCAGAGATGTTCCCGTCCAGATTTTTGTATCCCCGCAGGGGCCAGAACCTCCCAAGGAAGGTGTGGGGGCACCGCTACCTGTGCCCCCACCTCCACCTCCTCTTCCACCACCCCCACCTCCACCCCCACCCCCAAGCATCCAGACTGTTTGCCTAAAAAGCCCAGGAGCCCAAGAAAAACCACGGCCTCTTGTGTGTGAAGGCTCAGCTAAAGGATGTACTTCGTTGGAGAAAGCAGATGCTGCATCCAGAGGCCCAACCAAGAATTATACAGGTAAAGAGAGAGAGTGCTCTTTTTCTTACACACACACACACACACACACACACACACACACACACACCATGCAGTCCTCAACTTATAACCACAATTGAGCCCCAACATTTTTAAACTTGTTTTTAACTTGTTCTACCTCAGGAACCATGGATGAGGTCTTGGCTTCCCTCAAGCGCGGTGAAGTCCTCCTTCGCAAAGTAGACCTGACCCAACAGCAAAGTAGACCTGACCTCAATGACAGCATTCTCGCCGCCATTAGGCAGGGGGTGAAACTACGGAAGGTCAACCTAGAGCCCAAGGAAGGCGTTGCGAAAGGTTCGGGCAGTGAACTGGAGCAGAGCATCAAGGCAGCCATGCAGAGGATTAAGAAGGTCTCCGCTGACTCCGACGACGATGAAAACGGAGACTGCAGCGGTGAAGAGTGGAACAGTTAACCGAGCCGTTGGCCGGTCCAGAGCTCCTCAGAAGCTCCCGAGGGATTCTTCGGTGAGAAGACAGCTAACCGTAAAGGAGTGCCAAAAACCCGGAAGAGCGGTCTGGAGCCCAGCAAGCTGGCGAACGTCCCGCATGAATCGGGCATCCCAGAATTCTTAGCAACACTCTGGAGTTTTGGAGGCAGCTGAAAGAAGTGTGGGAAATGCTCCTTGATCAATGTCAGAAGTTTCCAAGCAGACAAGTAAATGTAGGACGAGTCCTTTACTGACACCGAGTTTTATGCTTTGAAGTTTGCACATTTTCTTTCCTTCTCTCTTTTTTTTTTTTTGCAAGGGAATCAGCGATCCTTTGGACACTGGGCTGCGAGGGGTTTGCAACTGGGCCGTGGAAACGGCCAGTCGTGTGTCCTCATTTGCACAAGCAGTGGGTGAGCACCCACGCGTGTGCTCCATTTGTATGAACGGCAGGCACGCGTGCATGCCGCTCACCAAATGCAACTGTGTGCATACACACATGCTTGCACGAACCATGCCTTCCCTTCTCCCCCCCACCTCCAGTCCACAATGCCGAACCATTGGGGAACTGTGCCGTAGGGGATTAGGGATCGTGACAATTTAATTTAAAAACCCCTCTTGATTTCACCCCAAATGTACACTCCTGTATGGAAACAACATGCTTTTGAGTAAGCCTGTTCCAAAACCATTATTAAAATTGTCCCAGGGGAGTGAATTACTCCACAGAAATTGCTCCTCAGTTGCATGGGACAGAGATAAATTATCTCCACAGGACACATTTGGAAAATAAAAAAAAACCTTTTTGAGTATTCTTAGACCAGTGAAAGGTGAGTACTTTGAATACCCTTTTCTATGAAACTATGGTCCTGGTTACACCAAGTATTTGCTGAAGGGTTTTAGTTTAAATAGAAATGGCTTCATTCAACACAGCCAAGACAGGGAGATCTGAGTTGGTAGTCATATACGTGGGAAGGATTGGGTGCCCTTGTCAACCACAGGAAAATATGACCCAGCAGTATGATCATTATTAATTTTAACGACCCCATAATCCCTTGATGGGTGGAGTCTAGGCAACTGAATGGAGCTAGCAGAGTGTTTACTGGCCGGATGCCCTTCCTGTCACCAATGCAGAGTTTTGTTCAGCAGGTATATTCTCAGTATGCCCAGAAAGAGAAATATCTGCCTCTACCTAAGATCTACATCCGTAAAAAGAAAAATACTGATTTGTTTCAGCACAAAGTTCAGATCATGAAAAAGAATAGATCAGAGGAGAGCTATCGAGAGGATGAGTTCTCGGAGCCTCTTGGGCTGCTGAGAGGAAGGCATCCTGAGCTGGGTGATGCACCTGGATGTTACCATGCCAGGAACCCCTGCTGGAAGTGTCTACACATTAAACGTGACCCCCTCAATGAAGGAAAAGGGTCTTATTTGCATCAGGCTTATTGCATTTGCCAGATTCCATTTTCATTACCTTCACCGCCATCTCACTGACTAGGAATATTGGCTGAGATAAGAAATAATGTTATTATTTAATGTTTGCTTTGTCTGCCATGGCCAGAGTCTTAAATGAGCCATGTCCAAAATGAACTTCAACTTCAGTCCATGTCAGAAGAGATGGTAGACCTCATCTCTTTTACCATGTGTCACATTTCTGTATATTTCTTATGGCCCCACCAGTGTGCCAAACATGAAATCTCTTTTATTTGGTTAAGTATATTCTTGGTCTGTGTCAGGATGTTCCTAACATGATTGAGTCAAGACTTTTCTTCAGGATCTGTTGTTTTCCATGTGTTTGCAATGCCAGTGTTAAGTTGTACCAGAAGGCTTAAAACGGATTTTTAATCTTTTTAAAATTAGCAGTACAGTATTTCTAATGCATCCCAAAAGGCAATGATGGTAAAACTAATCAACAGAATGTTATAACACAGGTCTATTTGTATCCATCAAGTATTCTAATCTATAAGAGGGACTATGAATCTCTAGACCTTGAGATGGTTTTCAACTGTAGCTCTCATAATCTCTTTTGCTAAAAATGTGGAGACAGCAATAACAGGGGAAAAATTCTCTTTGACCACTTTCTAAAACAGACATGGGATTTAAAGTTAATTTTAAAGGATTTGTCTTGTAATAAATATTTAGCTTTCCAATTTAACTTGGATAGAAAATCCTTTCAGATCTTTACAAATGTAAACTTTTTCCCTGTTCATAATGTGAAGGATAATGTATTTGTTTCTAAATTTGCAAAAAAATGTACACCAATAATCAATTTTAAGATGCAATATGGTTAAAACCTATTAATTGGATGCTCTTTTGCATTGTCAGTGATAAACTTTCATCTTTGAAGACCCTGGAATAATGTATTGTGATGTTATTCTCAGCATAATAGTTTTCAAATATGATGCTCAGATGGAGAAATACAGCACTTGTAACTACTCAAGAGTAAGCACTACCAAACATCTTGGAAATTGTTGGCAACTGTGTAGTCATTTTAGCACTTAGACTTATATATAGCTTCACAGGGCTTTACAGCCCTCTCTAAGCAGTTTACAGAGTCAGCCTATTGCCCCCAACAGTCTGGCTCCTCATTTTACCAACCTTGGAAGGATGGATGGAAGGATGGAAGGCTGAGCATTTTACTTGTTACATGTACAATTCTCAACGTACATTACTCAACGTATGCTATTTTTCATGGTGGCTTACCTTCATTAGGAATCGGTCCAAAGATTGTGGGGGGGGGGGTTGGATTAGATGACCCACAAGGTCTCTTTCAACTCTGTTAATCTGTTAAATCTGTTAAGGCAGCAGAGAAGGTTGCAAATGGTGATCACATAAATCATAATTGGCAGGTGGTTGTCGAGTGCTCCAATGGCAATCCTGACTTCAGGGATGCTGCAACTTTCACAGGTTTACAGACCCATCGTAAGTTGCCTGGCGTACCTTCAAATGCTAACTGAAGGAGTAGCCATAACCTGAGGACCATAACCTGTAAGCAGCTAGAACTAAATTGTTCTGTGGGGTTTACATACCTATTTTTCAATCAGGCCATGGGCACCTCTGATTTTAATTCTTAAAAAGACAGATCTGAAAGAACCCTGGAGTCTTTATTCGGGTATTTTCCCACGTCATTGTAGTTGTGCTTTTAAAGTTGTAGCAATGTTTCGGCAGAATCTCACCTGCCATCATCAGGCTTCTGTATTGTGTTCGTCTGTGAGTCAGACTTTTACAGTGGTTTCAGTTTTAAATTTGGGGCTAGCCTACTGCTGTGCCAGAATGGTTTTTTCTTCATCCTGATTGGTTGGGAGTCTTGGTCTGTGTTTATTGGTCTTGGAGTTCGCTGTGTTCTGCTTGATTGGTGTTTCTAATATCTTCTGTCTGTTTTGTGGCTCTTTTTGTGTCTTGATTGGCTGGCAACATTGTGTTCCTGTACTGGAGGCCTTTAGTGAAGCTTGGCTCCGGGTAAATGGATGGCTATCATTTGTTAGGAAGCTAAGTTTCATCTGGGTGCCTGGTTGGGGTGTGTTTGAGCTGGAGGTATCAGGGGGGAATCTGTTTGTGCCCGGGTGTTTGCCTGGCTAGTGGTGTGGAGATTTTTTTGTTTGTGAGTGCAGGCTTCCAAATGATTGACAGTCTGGTGGAATCATCTCTTCTGTTCATGCTTTCTGGTCTTTTTTCAATCTCTATGGCTTCTCTGATAATTCTGTGGCTGGGGTTTTCTCTAGAGATTGAAAAAAGAGTTGGTGGAGGGAGCGAGACATGATGTCCCAGATGTGCTCAATTGGATTCAGGTCTGGGGAACGGGCAGGCCAGTCCATAGCATCAATGCCTTCATCTTGCGGGAACTGCTGACACATTCCAGCCACATGAGGTCTAGCATTGTCTTGCATTAGGAGGAACCCAGGGCCAACGGCACCAGCATATGGTCTCACAAGGGGTCTGAGGATCTCATCTCGGTACCTAATGGCAGTCAGGCTACCTCTGGCGAGCACATGGAGGGCTGTGCAGCCCCCTAAAGAAATGCCACCCCACACATTACTGACCCACTGTCAAACTGGTCATGCCGGAGGATGTTGCAGGCAGCAGAACGTTCTCCACGGCGTCTCCAGACCCTGTCACATCTGTCACATGTGCTCAGTGTGAACCTGCTTTCATCTGTGAAGAGCACAGGGTGCCAGTGGTGAATTTGCCAATCCTGGTGTTCTCTGGCAAATGCCAAACGTCCTGCACAGTGTTGGGCTGTAAGCACAACCCCCCCACTGTAGACGTCGGGCCCTCATACCGCCCTCATGGAGTCTGTTTCTGACCGTTTGAGCAGCCACATGCACATTTGTGGTTCTGGCAGTGCTCCTCCTGTCCCTCCTTGCTCAAAGGCGGAGGTGGCGGTCCTGATGCTGGGTTATTGCCCTCCTACGGCCTCCTCCACGTCTCCTGATGTACTGGCCTGTCTCCTGGTAGCGCCTCCATGCTCTGGACACTACGCTGACAGACACAGCAAACCTTCTTGCCACAGCTCACATTGATGTGCTAACCTGGATGAGCTGCACTACCTGAGCCACTTGTGTGGGTTGTAGACTCCGTCTCATGCTACCACTAGAGTGAAAGCACCGCCAGCATTCAAAAGTGACCAAACCATCATCCAGAAAGCATAGGACCTGAGAAGTGGTCTGTGGTCACCACCTGCAGAACCACTCCTATATTGGGAATGTCCTGCTAACTGCCTCTGCTTTCCACCTGCTGTCTATTCCATTTGCACAACAGCATGTGAAATTGATTGTCAATCAGTGTTGCTACCTAAATGGACAGTTTGATTTCACAGAAGTGTGATTGACTTGGAGTTACATTGTGTTGTTTAGTGTTCCCTTTATTTTTGTGAACAGTGTATAATTTTACACACACACACACACACACACACACACACACACACATATGAGAAAAAATAGGCTTGGTTTGCTCCATTGCAAATCTTTTGTATTCATGAAACTGCTGCCGCTTGCTGGTTTTTCTTTTCAGAACTCAGAGATGGAACACCTCTAAAGGCATTTTATTCACTCACTTTGGCAAGTTCGGTGATGCATTCACAAGATTTTCCTTCCACCGCTGTTGGTCTACACCCATCCATCCTTCTTGCTTTGCTTGTCGGGGATTTTGGTTCAGAGAAATGAGTGCCTAATACAATTTTCTAAAAGGATGGCAGAGACAGAAGTAAAGTGCTGAGGTTATTTAAGTTGAGGGTTTAAAATAGAAACGAGACAGCCTTAAAAGTCATTGGTAGAAACCCAGGATGGGTTGAAACTCCAGCAGCTACTTGGAATAACAGAATCACGGAGTAGGAAGGGACCTTGGAGGTCTTCTAGTCCAACTCCCTGCTCAAGCAGGAGACCCTATAACTGTGATGCCGAACCTATGGCACACGTGCCACAGGTGGCATTCAGAGCCATTTGTGCCGGCATGCGAGCTGCAGGCAAACTTACCTCACTGCGCATGCATGTGCCTAACAGCTGGTTTTCAGCCGGTTTGAGGCCTTTTTCAGCCTCCCAAAGGCTTGAGGAAGGCTTCTGCAGGCGTCTGCAGGCTTTGCAGGCCGAAAACTAGCCCCGTTTCATCACTTCTGATATTTCCGTGCATTGCCTTCTGGGTGCTGGCACACGAGCACGAGCGTGCAAGCGCACGCACAATTTTTGGCACAGGAGCCCAAAAAGGTTAGCCATCACTGCCCTATACCATTTCAGACAAATGATTGTCCAATCTCGTCTTAAAAACTTCCAAGGTTGGAGCATCCACAACTTCTGGAGGCCAGTCATTCCAGAATTGTTATCACTGTCAGGAAATTTCTCGTTTCTAAATTGCTTCTCTCCTTGATTAGTTTCCATCCATTGTTTCTTGTCCTGCCTTCAAATGCTTTCGAAAACAGGTTGACTTTCTCTTCTTTGTGGCAGCTCCTCAGACATTGGAAGACTCCTATCATGTCAATCTGAGCCCTTCTTTTCATTAAACTAGACATGCCCAATTCCTGCAACCATTGTTCATATGTTTTAGCCTTCAGTCCCCTCATCATCTTCATTGCTCTTCTCTGCACTTAGAGAAAAGTCTGTTTCCATATAAAAAGTCATTTTGCTACAGAAAGTTGTTTCCTTCTTTGGGATCCCCAAAACCCTGCAGTGGGACAGTAAAAAAAGTCTTCAGAATATCCTGATGGAAGATTGGTTTGTTTGTTTTTTAATTCAGTGGCAACCTTGGGAGGATAGAATATAAATCATTTCTCCAACTCTTGCGGGTGCGGGGTGGGTGGGAACCAGTTTGTTAAGAAACCCATCATAGCCAAAACAGAGAATACAGAACAAACTGTAGCCTTAGTTAACCTTCTGTTGACAGAAGCAAAAATACTGAATTAATCATACAGGAGACAGACAAAGGAATATGAGCATTAAAGCATTTTTTTAAAAAAGCAATTTTGTTCCATACTTTTTGGATGACTATTAGGATTTCAACCCCAGCATTTTCCTGAATATATATTTGGTCAAGAAATACTTATACTGGAGCTCTTAATAAGAGGTGGAATGATTTAAAAATGCTGTAATTCCCCAGTTCAGTGTCATCTGAAGAAAAAAGCAATGTCTGCATAGGTTATCATTGTTTTTATTATTTCATGAAACATCACATCCATTCTGAGCTCCAAATCATGGCTTCAAATGCAGCTTCTGAATAATGGCTACCATGATTATTAATTTTTTATTATTACTTATTAAATTTATATGCCTCCCATTAGCAGTTCGAGGCAACCCCAAGTGGCTTTGAGTAACGCTAGAATAAAGCATGGGAAATCTAAACTGAAACCTAAAGGATGAAAATAATTCTGAAAAACCAAACCACTGCCAGAACATTTCACAAAGATGTTGGTCTCATCAATAAAACATTTGATTAAGCTTGGAAAGTCTTCATCTAATTGCTAAAACTAGAAGTGGGTCTTATGAATATGACTCCATTGGCAGTGATTTCTGGAAATCTTTATTGGCCAAGGATACACACACACACACACACACACAAGGAATTTGTCTCCAGTGCATAAGCTCTCAGTGTACACACAAGCAACAAGTGATCATAAAATACATCGTAAATCATAGATACAACACTCAGTCATAGGATACTAAAGCAATCAACATAAATCATGAGTTACAACAAATTATAAGGATCTAAGGACATAGGTAATAGGTCAGGTGAGAAGGATAATAAGTAAT